GAATTTTAAAATAATATTTATATATTAGAAAAAACGATATTATTTTAATAGAGGAATATTAATTATTTATATAAGCGAATTTTATTATTAATAATTATTTTATCTAGATATTTTACTTATTATTAATAAATACGCGTAAAAAGTATTCTAATATCTAATTTTAACGCTTAATCTATTTATTAATTTATAAATAAAAAGCGATATTTAAATATTACTTAATTTTAAAATAAAAGTAAATAATAAATTAGAAGTTATTAATAAATATAGAATTTCTATTATTAATAATATCGTTTAATATATTATAGCGATATATTATTTTAAAATAAAATACTTTTATTAATTGGACGATATCGATTATAATAAATATAAAAATATATCTTATTATTTTTATAAATCGATTTATTATAATTAAAATAGTATTATAAATAATACTCTTATATTTACTCGCTAATAAGTCGATAATAAAATTTATAAAAATTTTCTTTTATAGCTTAATAGCGATAAAAAGCGAGCTTAATTCGCTATATAAACGATATCGCGAAGCTTTAATTTATTAATAAATATTATATATCTTAATATAGTCGATAACTTACTTTAGATTTTTATTTTAATAATATTTATAAATAAATAGTTTATATATCTTCGCAGCGCTAAAGTATTTTAATAATAAATTATTATAATATTTACTAATAAGCTCTTTCTTTAAGGCCTTATTTCTAGAGATATAAAGATAATTATTATATCTTAATAATTTCTTAAAATCTAAAATCTATATTTAATTATATATACGATATTTAATTACTAGCTTATTAATATTAATTTAAAAAGAGCTTACTTAATTATTATAGATTTATAGATCTTAAATTAATATTTTTATTAGCCTTTAAAATATATTATAAATAATCTCTTATATAATCTTAAGCTCTCTTTTAAGAATAATTATTTAAACGCTAATAATATAAAATATAAGCGCTATTATTATTATAATTTTTTTATCTTTTCATAATTATTTATTATAATTTAAAGTATAAATTTATTCTATAGTATTAATAGTAGTTTAATATTTAATAATAAAGTTTTTTTATAATTAAGATATCGCGATCGCGAGTCGATAAAATCTAATTTATTTATTTAATAAAAAATTTTAAAGTTATAAATAGCTAACTTTAGCGTCTAACGAGCTTATCTAAAATTTAATTTTTTTTATTTTATAAAGCTCTTAAGATTATTATAATTTATTAGAATTTTAATATAAAATATATTATCTTTTAGATAATAATACTATTATTTTATAAATACTATAATAGTAAGTAGCTCTTAATTATAGATCTTATAATTTTACTTTATAGAAATTATTTTTCTAGATTAAAATATTATTAATTATTAATAATTATTTTTATTCGATTATAAAAGTATAGCTCTTATATTAAAGTTAGAAGTATTAATTTTAAGATATAGCTTTAAATTTAAATCGTAATAATATAGAAATAGCGCGATTATAAAAATATTTTAAAGCTATTAAAACGTTAGCTTAGCGTTATTTATCTACTCTAATAATTTAAATTTCTTACTATTCTTACTTTCTTTAAATAAATTAATAAATAATATTATTATACTAAAATAGCTATAAATAAATTATTAATAAAAATTAATAAAGCTTAAAAAAGATTTATATATTCTAATAACTGTTTTAATTTTAACTACTTTTTAATAGTAGCGATATATTTCTAATTTATTATAATATCTTCGATAAATATAATAAATTCTAGAAACTTAATCTACTTAATATAGAATTAATACTTCTTTAAATTAATATATAATTAAAACTAATATAAACGCTTAAATATTTATTTAATATATCGCTAATACTTTATTAAATTAATACTATAAATTAGAATATTATTTAAATATATTATATATATTATATTTATTAGACTTATAAAAGCTTTATTAATATATATTTAAAAAGTTATTAATATATTAACGAGTTTAAAAGATATAATTAAATATTCGAAATAGCCGTAGTAACTACGAAACGCTATTTTCTACTTATTATCTTTTTTAATTTAAATTTAATAATAAATATTCTTAAAATCTAGCTTTATAAAGATTTTAGCGCTATATAAGCGATTTAGAGTCTTAATAATTAGAGATAATAAGTATTAATTTTTAATAGTTATCGCGTTTAAATTTCGATAATTAATATAAAGATAAAGCCTTTTATTCTTTTTAAAAATAAAAAGAATTAATACTTTAATTAAGAAAGTTAAATAATAAATTTAATTTTTCTAAAGAAAATCTTTTAAATAGCGCTATAGCTTCGCTAATTTTATTTAAAATAAATTATATAAAAGACTATATAGCGACTTTTTATCGCTCTTAATCTTAATAATATAATCCCTCTATTTAAGCGTAAATAAAATTTCTACTTTTTTATTAAAAAAAACGTTATTAAATTTTAATAACTTCTAAAAAAACTCTAGATTATATCTATTTTTCGATTTACTTTATATTATCGTAACGTATATAATCGCGAATATATTTAATTTCTATTTAATAGTTTAAATAAATTTAATTAATTCTTTAATCTATAATTTATTAACGTTAATTTTAAACTATTATTACTTTATTACTAAATTTAATAATATTTATAATTAATTTAACTCGAATATATTTAATATAATATTAAAGTTTTTTTAATTAATAATATAAAAGAGTATATTATACTTTTTATTCTAATTTTAACTATTTATTAATTAATAATCTAACTAATATATACTATAATAATATATACTTTAATTACTTAGCACTTTTAATTATAATAAAATAATATTATAAAATTCTAAATCTTATTAAATTATAAACTTTTATAAAATTAAATTAATATATATTTTAATATTAAATAAAGTAATAAATTATCTCTATTTACTCTAAAGCTTTATTTATCTCTATTAATTATTATTCTTATCTCGCTTCTAAGGTGATTATAAGATTAAATCTTTTTTTATTAATACTACGTTAATATAGATTATAGACGATTTATCGAGATTTAAATATTTAGATATTTAATAATCTTATTTTTTATAATAAAAATAACTATTCTTCTTATAATTAGAGTTAAAGGATTTAATTTTATACTTTATATTATCGTCTTAGATACGCGCTATATAAACGTCGTTATTTAAAATTAATTTAGATTTCGAAATTTAATTCTTTAAAGACTTATCCTTAGCGAATTCTTTTAAAAACTTCGAATAAAAACTATTATCGAAGCGTATATATTTTAAAATCTTTTTCTATATAATAGTCTAAATAAGAATTTTTTATTATTATTTTAATATACTATTAGTATTTAGAATTTTATTCTTAAGCTCTAATCTAAGCTTAATTAAAAAGAAATTAATTTAATACTTCTTAAAAAATAAAGTTATATAAATCTCTAACTCTTTTAGATAAATTTTAAAAATAAATATCTTCTAATTAAAGCGTTATTTTATTTTATTTTATTTTTTATAAGCGAGAAGATAATAATTTATTAAATCCGCTATTAAATTAAATAGAAATTATTTAAAGAATTTAAAAGTCGTATTCTCTAGACTATAGATTTAATAATATCTATATTATTAAATATTAAGATTATCTTCTAAAAATTATATATAATAAATAATTTTTAATTAATTAATAATAAAATATTTAGAACTTATAAGAAACTTAATTTCGACTTCGCGAAATTAGCCTAGATACTTTTTTTTATTAATATTCTTATAAGAATATATTCTTTTAAAGCGAAGTATTTTCGTCTTAATTAATATATTTATTAAAAATATATAATTTTTCGCTAGTTATAGATAATAAGCTAGCGTTATAAAGTTTATAATTATAAACCTTTAACGTAATTAACTCTTATTTTTATTCTAGATAATAATTTTCGATCTTAATAATTATAAGACGTTATTCTATAGTAAGATCTTTTATTAATAAGAAATTCTCGAACTTATTATTAACGCTATAGCGACTCTCGATATTACCTTTATTTTTTATTATATAATCTAGAGATAAACTTAATATTATAATAATAATAAGTCTTTTTCTTTAAAAGATAAAGAGATTAAAATTATAAAGATATAATTTACTAGTAATTAGCTAGCGAATATAAACTATAAAAGATATAGTATTATTATAGAATTTAATAGTATATTTAATAGTAGAATTAATCTCTAAGAAATATTAAAACTTCGAGATATATGAAGTAGATCTATATCCGCTAAGCCCCTAAGTATATAGATATATTATTGAAACTAAATTCTAAAAGAGACCCTGACGTAACACATGCGATGTCGGCGCCTTGGCGCAAGTAGCGCCAAGGCCTATGACAGCATCAGGCCTGACAGAGGGCCCTACGAAGGCCTCGCGGGCTAAGTATTTAGGTCTAAATAGGGGTATCTAACTATCAAGCGCAGACACCCCCGAGATTAGGCTTTTTAGCTAAGTTACTAACACTGAGAAATATGTTAAGACTTCAGTATAGCTTCATCTTTTTATTTAAGACCTATACTAACGATAGCAGTATTATTGAATAATTTTGCGGAGAGATTTCTATGCTACAGTACGAATCTAGGTGTGTGGTGTGAAAGATCTCCGGTGCCAAGCATTCCAGATGTTTTTGAATACGCTAAATGTCTTGGCGTTCTATGCCCTCTACTCGCGTAAACTTGCCTCGAGAGGTTTGGCGTCATTGCCCGGACTTTTGAACTTTGGCATCATTGGTGGGCACACCTTCTGTCTTTTTTCCTCTTTCTCAAGTAAACATCAATTCCATTCTCCGTAATTTCTACTGATTCTCCTACCAAGGCTGCTGACATTGTACACATGAAGATTCGAAAATTTTCAAATCCTTTCTCATCCAGCATTCCCTGCTGCAATACTCCTGTTTTATCACTCTTATATCTCCTTCCGCAGACCCTCTTCTTTTTGTAAAGTTCTTCTTCTCATAAAACAAGATGGCTGTCACTCGAGACCGTGGTATCCGCATAGCAATAGATGTAAGCTGCATTGCGCATCGAATACTCAGCAATACAATCATACTAATGCTAGACAGAGAGGAGGTACATTCACCGATTGCGTTGGAAACCCCGGGAGTGGAAAAATGGAAGATGACATAGTGATCAAACTCCTTTCGGAAGACCCGTCCAATTACGATGATGCCCCTCTCGAGGGTATCAGGCGCATGCTGTCCAGCTTCACTGGAAAGGAAGTACCTAGGGGGGAGCCCCTGGACACGTCAAAAATTGAAAGCATCCGTATGGGTACTACTGTAGCCACCAACGCGTTACTGGAACGAAAAGGTGAAAGGATTGCCATGGTCGTCACCAAAGGTTTCAAGGACTGCCTCGAGATCGGTAACCAATCAAGACCAAAAATCTTCGATCTGGCTATTCGGAAACCCGAAGTCCTTTACGAACAGGTAGTCGAGATTGATGAAAGGGTGACACTTGAGGATTACGCAGAAGACCCGGAGAGGCACATCACTAAGACCGATGACTCGACCGCTGAGGAGGGTCTCGTACGAGGGCTGTCAGGAGAAGCTGTCCGGATACTTAAGAGACCGTCCAAAGACACAATCAAATCACAACTACAAAATCTCTATGATGATGGCTTCCGCAGCATTGCTGTTTGCCTTGTCCATGGATATACCTTTCCCGATCATGAGGCGATGGTTGGGCAAGTGGCCAAAGAGATCGGCTTTGAACATGTCAGCTTGAGCCACGAATTGATGCCGATGATCAAGCTTGTTCCACGAGCTACCTCTGCATGTGCTGATGCGTATCTGACGCCAGCGATCAAAAAGTATATTGCAGGCTTTCAAGCAGGCTTTGAAGGTGGCCTAGGCACAGAAAGTGTAAAGAAGGAAAGCGGTGCTAAGGGAGCACGCTGCGAGTTCATGCAATCGGATGGAGGTCTCGTTGATGTCGATCTTTTCTCTGGCCTACGAGCAATCTTGTCTGGTCCAGCGGGTGGAGTAGTAGGTTACGCACTGACTTCTTACGACTCAAATACCAGGACACCTGTCATTGGATTTGATATGGGAGGTACTAGCACAGATGTCAGCCGGTATGGTTCCGGAAGGTATGAGCATGTCTTCGAGACTACAACAGCCGGTGTGACCATCCAATCACCGCAGCTCGACATCAACACCGTTGCTGCAGGTGGTGGATCTCGACTGTTCTTCCGTAACGGCCTATTTGTGGTTGGTCCAGAGTCTGCAGGAGCACATCCCGGGCCTGCATGCTATCGAAAGGGAGGTCCACTTACTGTCACCGATGCCAACCTTTTCTTGGGTCGCCTCCTACCTGACTTCTTTCCCAAGATCTTTGGAAAGACAGAAGATCAAGGCCTAGAAGCGATTGCCAGCGAGAAGCTCTTCAAGAAATTGACTGAAGACATTAACAAAGAGATTGCTGGAAACGACAAGGAGAAGGAGATGAGTCCGGATGAAGTCGCTTATGGGTTCATTAAAATAGCTAATGAGACGATGACTAGGCCAATCAGGTCGCTGACCGAAGCTAAAGGATACGATACTTCGCAACATCGACTGGCTACCTTCGGAGGTGCAGGTGGTCAGCATGCAGTTGCGATTGCCGAAAGTCTTGGCATCAAGCAAATTCTTGTCCATCGGTACTCCTCAGTGCTATCCGCCTATGGGATGGCGTTGGCGGATGTTGTAGATGAGAGCCAGGTACCAGACTCTAAGACTTGGTCTGATGAAGGAGAGGTGGTGGACGAACTGAAGAAGACGATGCACGACTTGAAAGAGAAATCGACCGCAAAACTTCGAGACCAAGGCTTCTCTGATGACAGCATAGTCTTCGAGGAGTACCTAAATATGAGATACAGAGGCACGGAGTCCCCTCTAATGATGGTGAGACCCAGTGAAGAAGAGGCAAAGAAAGACTTCGGTGGCAATGACTGGGCGTTTGGGAAGGCATTCGTCAAGCAGCACGAACAGGAATTTGGTTTTACGCTACCAGATCGTGACATCATAGTGGACGATGTTCGCGCCAGAGGCATCGGTAAGAGCTTCGAGGGATTGGAGAGGACAGTCGACATGCAGCTGAAGGACATTAAACCGAAGGATTTGGGCGAAGGAAAACGGTACGGTGTATCCAAGGTCTACTTCGAAGGAGGACGCCAAGAAACTCCAATCTACAAACTTGAAGATCTTGACATGGGCGATCGAGTTCAAGGGCCCGCAATACTGGCTGATGGTACTCAAACCATTGTCGTTACACCTGGAGCGACTGCCTTGGTCATTGAAACACACGTCGTGATTGACATTGGAAAAACAGAAGGTCAAAATAAAACAGTCAATGCCAAAGAAGTTGATCCCATTATGCTAAGTATCTTTGCCCATCGTTTCATGGCTATTGCGGAACAGATGGGTCGGGCGTTACAGAAGACTAGTGTCAGTACCAATGTCAAGGAAAGACTGGATTACTCGTGTGCTTTGTTCGACTCTACAGGTGGCCTTGTTGCGAACGGTAAGATTTCTCATCAATGCAGTATCACTGCCCTTTATCTAACGTACTGCAGCGCCTCATCTACCCGTCCATCTCGGAAGCATGTCGACCTGTGTCACGACCCAAGCAGAAATATGGAAAGGCAAGCTGAAGCCGGGAGATGTTATCGTGTCGAACCACCCAGAATTTGGCGGTACTCATTTACCAGATATCACAGTCGTCACTCCAGCTTTCAATGGCGAGGACATCATCTTCTACGTCGCATCTCGAGCTCATCATGCAGATATTGGCGGTATTCTGCCCGGATCAATGCCTCCACACTCTCGAGAACTGTTCCAAGAAGGAGCGGCCATCAAGTCAGAAAAGCTTGTATCCGAGGGCAAATTCAACGAAAAAAGGATAACCGAGTTACTCTACGATGAGCCAGCACAATATCCAGATTGCAGCGGAACACGATGCCTGGCGGATAACCTCAACGATCTAAAAGCGCAGATCGCCGCCAACCAGAAAGGTATCAACCTGATCAGCGCACTGATAGAAGACTACGGAGAGGAAGTCGTCCAGTTCTACATGCGTAACATCCAAGATAATGCTGAGCTAAGCGTTCGCAATCTCCTCAAGGACGTCAGCAAGAGATTCGAAGGCCAGGATCTGACAGCTACCGACTACATGGACGACGGTAGCCCAATCAAACTCAAGATCACCATCGACCCCGGAGAGGGCGAAGCAATCTTCGACTTCGCCGGCACCGGCCCAGAAGTCTACGGCAACACCAACGCCCCCGAAGCAGTCACCTACTCCGCCATAATCTACTGTCTCCGTAGTCTGATCGAAGACGACATCCCGCTGAACCAAGGCTGCCTCAAACCAATCAAAGTGCTCATACCAAAGAAATCGTTCCTCTCGCCCTCCGACAAAGCTGCCGTCGTGGGCGGCAACGTCCTCACATCCCAGCGCGTCACCGACGTCATCCTGCTCGCCTTCACCGCCTGCGCCGCCTCCCAAGGCGACTGCAACAACCTCACCTTCGGCTTCGGCGGCAACCTCTCCACCTCGTCCTCCCCGACCAAAGGCTTCGGCTACTACGAGACCATCGCCGGCGGCTCCGGCGCCGGTCCCACCTGGCACGGCACCAACGGCGTGCACACGCACATGACCAACACGCGCATCACCGACGCCGAAGTCTTCGAGCGCCGCTACCCGGTCACGCTGCGGCAATTCAGCCTGCGCGCCGGCAGCGGCGGCAAGGGCCAGCACCGCGGCGGCGACGGCGTCGTCCGCGACATCGAATTCCGCATCCCGGTCCAAGTCAGCATCCTCAGCGAGCGGCGCGTGTACCACCCGTACGGGCTGTCCGGCGGCGAGGACGCCGCCTGCGGCATCAACTACTGGGTGCGGCATGTGCGCAAGGGGGGACGTGGCGACGATAGGGAGGAGTGGGAGGATCGGTGGATCAATCTTGGGGGCAAGAACACGGCGGCGATGGAGAAGGGGGAGAGGATCGTGGTGTGCACGCCTGGGGGTGGCGGGTGGGGGAAGGTCGGGGGGAGAGCAAGGCTGTCACGAAGAAGGATGAGCGCGCGACGTGGAGGAAAGGGAGTGTGGCGCAGAGGATGGAGGCGCAGGAGACGGCGTAGTGGGAAGGGAGGGGATTTGTGTGCGCCGTGGAAAACTTTGATGTAATTTGTCCCTCTCGTTTGGATTTACGGCCTGAAATTGAAAGGTACCTTTTCTATATGTTCGGTCTTTCTCGAAAGACGACAACGGTGGGCGCTATATCTCAAATATCAAATGTCGCTCGCTCTGTTCGCCATATACTCAAACAAGCAAACCACCAAGTCACGCAGAAGCACATCCTTCGCATCAGTCATCCTACGCTCGTTCGACCATGATGATTGGTACCCTGTCCGCTTCTTTCCCCCTTTTCTTGCTTATCATACCGAATACCCTTCTCAAACAACACCATAACCCTGCTGACATTCCGCAACGTTGAACGTCTCCGGGCACATGTGAGACTACGGCTGCACCTCTTGAATGAAAATCGGGCGAAGCGATGATTCGCCAGTCCTCCAAATATGACATTGACAGGTGTTTCTTGACAAAAAAAAATCCTGGACAAGTTTCGACTCTTTGAAGTGGTGTGCGGACGCTTCATTCCAAAGTAGAGCGCTCGCTCGCATATCTGAGTCATCGAAATCGAAGATCTGCAACTCTTTCGCACGGGATCTTCCAGCTTAAGTATCGTAACTGACTACTGCGATATCCGACCCGCTGTCAGTCGGCTCTGTCAGTCGCTTGTACACATACAAGCGCGATGAGGCGGTGGTTTGCGCGCAAAATGTGAAACACCCCCCTTCGCCCGATTCAAAAACCCTTTTGACCAGCTGTTAGACTCATCCCTGCTATATACTAGGAATCAATAGTCAGACTAGGTAATCGTATGGGAACACGCTACACTTATAGGTCATGATCTTTTCAATACTTTTCAGCTTTGCCGCGACCATTGCTGCGGCTGTCGTCCCGCCATCCGATGGGATCAACCAAACCGGCTTTCACTACAATCTCACCAACGCGGCAAGATTGGGAGACATAGACCCCCGCTTCACTACCGATTACCGACAGGGGCAAGCAAGGCTCTCGGCTACATCATGCCTCATGAACGCAGCCAACGCCATGATGGAGCTAGCACTCGAAAACTTCACGGAGTCAATTCGCCCTCGAAATTACATGGATCCTGGCTATCCCGAGGTCGTAGTCGTGCCTATGACGATGGCGCCAGGGCAAGGGATAGAAGCGCGGTATCTGTTGTGGGGTGTATGGAAAGGAATAAGGTGGATGATCAGCCACCAGAGTTTCCGGGACCTCGTGATCGGTGCATACTGGGACGGGATCCTGGTATGCAGAATTTGGATGAAAGGGAGGCAATTAAGTATTGCTGGAAGCAATGATACTCTGGGCCTCACAGCGCGGTCAGAAAAGATGTCCATTCGCAACGCCACGGTAGAATTTACGCAAGACTTGAGCAAATCGGACGTCAGAAATCCATTGAACGACCAGCATCTGACAGTATCGGTGACCCAGGTTGGGGAAATGCTTGGTATCACGGAAGTCTTCGTCGCAATTTTTGCGACTTTGGAATATATTGCTCAGTTTCCAAGCACTGATCGAGTGGTCGGATTCCAGATTTCTCCAGACGATGAAGACACAACGATTGGATTCCTGGGTCATCCTCGGGCTCCTGCGGTCAGAACACCATCCTTGGAGTACCAGTGGGTCATCCTGAGCGTAGGACAGATTCCTGGGTATTTGTTACAGCAGAGGAGGTTCACGGAAGTGATTATCGAGATTGCTGTAGACGGAGTCCCGCTTGGGGAAGGATTCATGTTCAAATAAAGATACTGATGAAGATAACCGGATTGTGGACCAGAGCAAAGATTGGGATCATTTTTGAAAAGGTAGTTCAGGATCTAGAGAGTATAATTCGCGTCGATTGGAATAGAGCGCGATAGATTTCGGAATCGGGCCCCACTATCAATGATTTTTGACACCCGAACAGCTCCAAAATTGACAAGTTTAAGGTGGATATAGCTTATGGTTTCTGTACTTGAAAGGCGTCCGAGCTGTAAAGCCTGTGGAAAGGAGGGCAACTCCATGATCTTTGAAAGATCTTTGCTCTAGAAATATCCAGTGCAAGGATCTAAGAGGACCCAGCCGCTTGCGTCTGTTCTTCGGGCACATTTATTCCTACTTGCTGTACAAGAATGTCAGGACTGAAAGCACGGTGTGGCAGACCTAAGCGGAGACAAGGTAGCTGTCCAGGTGTTAGGCATACATTGCCGTGCCTTAGGTGATGTCTTGCTTTCTATGCCTATGGTTCTCAGCGCCGTTCTTGATCATGCTTTGTAGCAGCAAATCCAATCGAGCAGCGTTTGCAAGGAAACCGTCTGGATGAGCTGTCACATTCATCCAAGGACCTGGCAAAACGTTGATTTTGAGTTCTCGCAATCCGTTCGTTCCACACTGCATTTCAAGAAGGCGGGTTATCCATGGAGCATCGGGTGTGGGCATCGTAAACGTACTTCCAAGGTAGATGAAAGCCTCGATTGTACGCAATCCTTTCAAAGTCTGCTTGATCAATTTGGACCAAGTAAGTAGATTACAAGCGGCACATTTCTGCATTCGGTGTGCGTGTAGAGCAGCGCGTCGATCATTTCCGCCGCTCGGACACGGACTGGACATGGTGATTTGGTTGTAGCATAGTTGAATGCTTCTGATTTGGGCAAGACGATGGGGGAGTACGCTCTGCATGAAGAACGGTGGCGGTGTCAGTGACGCAAATGAGAAAATTTGCAGACCTGGAGATATTAGCTCCTCGCATCTGAGATTCTAGACGGAAGGCTCCGACGCTTACTATATAATAGATCGATGGCTTCTAAGTACATTTGCTTACAGCATTTGACAAGAGTCACGGGGCCCCAGCCACGATTTTTTGGGAAGCTGTTGGAAAAATGCGTTCGCGCAATCACATTGTACCCCGCGTACACAACCTCTGCTTCGGCCACATCAACGAGATGCCAAGCAGGAGCACTGGAGACAACTCTGTCAAAAGCATGATCACAGTGGTAGCCACGAATCTTGCCAGCCCTCATGGCACTGGCATTGGCGCGTGCGTCCAACACGCCATCCGGATTCCTCATTGTGCTGTGCACCACAACATGGACATGTGAGCCATCGCCGACAATGACCTCTTTGTAAATCTTGAGTCGTATTTCGAACGGAAGTTTAGTGAAAAACGAAGCGCCTAATTGAGTTTCTGCACAATATGGCGCCTGGCTGAGTCGGCGTCTGAGCTGTAGAGGAAGAGGGCGGGGCTTTTCCCTCTCAAAAGCTATCTCTTGAGCCTGCCGTTTGCAACGTAGATGATAAAACCAGAGGATCTTGAATGGCACCACTGCAGCATTCTTGTAAATCAGTTTGAACCGTTGTCGTCCCGCTGAGGAGCAGAGAAGTGGGCACAAAAGTATTGGGAGGAGATTGTAGACGAACGGACTGCAGACAAGAATGGCGAGTACAATCAACACATAACCCAGCCCGCAGCAAATCTGCCCGATCCAGGGTAACTCTTTATGGCAAGCTTTAGCCAGGAGCTTTTGACAGATCGTGCATAGAACGATCGGGATTGCACAGATGCCCATGGAGGCGTTTGAATTACTCAGAGTGTCAGACCTCGTCTGCTGCCGGACTGCAGGAGCAGATTGGCTGCCCCGTATCAGCAGGTCAATGACCTCACTTATGATGCGGAGAAAGCCTCAGACTTTAAGCTGAATGATCGAAGGTCCACAGCCTCGTCGGCATCGATCAGGCTGCAAAAGCATACTGAAAAGACGTATAACCCGGCAGACTGGAAGGCTGATAATATGCCACCGTAACAGCATAGCACTTGCTCATCAGCGTACTTGCAGACAACGACTTAAACGCTCCATGAATCACGACCATGAGTAGAAGTGACATAGTTGAGATGGAAAAGCAATAGTGCTCAGCAATGACGTCCGAGTCTCTCGAAATTGACGAGAGGACTTAGACTTAAATCTGCGACGCTCGTATATAAATGTCACGTGCTTACTGTTAGGGTCCTGCGGCGAAGTCTACTTTAGTTGCCAGATGGCCCTTTTGAAACCTTACGAATCCATAGGGACACATCGACAACATCTCTCTATCTCTGTCCTCTTCTCTCCTCAAAATACAAACACACCACTTCATTCAAGCCTGCAACATAAGGCATCACTTTCATTTTAAAAACATACAATAATCATGAGGAACTTCAAGAGTGTAGCTCTCGGGCTTGTAGGAGCTGCTGCGGTAGCATCAGCTTCTGACGTCCATGACCTCAAGAAAGATACATTTACAGACTTCGTCAAGAGCCATGACCTTGTTTTAGCAGAGTTTTTCGCACCATGGTGTGGCCACTGCAAAGCATTGGCCCCAGAATACGAAGAGGCCGCAACGACACTCAAAGAGAAGGACATCGCCTTGGTCAAGGTTGACTGCACAGAAGAAGCCGACTTATGTAAAGAATATGGCGTTGAAGGCTACCCAACTGTCAAGGTCTTCCGAGGCCCGGACAACGTGAGCTCCTACTCAGGGCAAAGAAAGGCGCCTGCGTAAGTAGTATGCTGCCAATCTTCAGGGCTTCCTCGCTAACCGCTATATCTAGTATCATCTCCTACATGACCAAGCAAGCCCTCCCTGCAGTATCAGTCCTCACACCAGAAACATTCGAGGAATTCAAAACCGCAGACCAGGTCGTGGTGGTCGCTTTCTTTGAAGCTGGCGACAAGACCTCGAATACCACTTTCAGCGAAGTCGCCGAGACCATGAGAGACGATCACCTCTTTGGAGCCTCTAATGACGCCAAGTTGGCCGAAGCCGAGGGTGTCAAATTCCCATCTGTTGTTCTCTACAAATCGTTTGACGAGGGCAAGGACATTTTTGAGCAGAAGTTTGACAAGGAAGCCATCACCAAATTCACCAAGACTTCAGCCATGCCGTTGGTAGGCGAAGTCGGTCCTGAGACTTATGCTGGCTACATGGCGGTATGTTCACCTACACAGCCGAAGATTGAGCCATGCTAACACATGCCTAGGCTGGCATCCCACTAGCCTACATATTCGCGGAAACCCCCGAGGAGCGCGCTGAACTGGCCGCTGAGCTCAAGCCTCTCGCACAAAAGCACAAGGGGGTCATCAGCTTCGCCACCATTGACGCCAAGTCTTTCGGTGCACACGCTGGTAACCTGAACCTCGAAGACGGCAAATGGCCCGCCTTCGCTATTCAGGAGACCGTCAAGAACCAGAAGTTTCCCTATGACCAGGACAAGAAGCTTACACATGACGATGTTGGCGCATTCGTCCAGAACTTCGTTGATGGCAAGGTCGACGCCAGCGTCAAGTCTGAGCCTGTTCCAGAGAAGCAAGAGGGCCCTGTTCAGGTCGTCGTGGCCAACAACTACAAGGAGATCATTTTGGACAACGACAACGATGTTCTTCTCGAGTTCTACGCCCCCTGGTGCGGTCACTGCAAAGCGTAAGACTACCTTCGATGGCATGCTTCAGACGTTTGGAGTCTAATAATTTCTCTATAGCTTGGCCCCTAAATATGAAGAACTTGCCGCCATGTACCCCGCCAGCGCCCAAGTCACCATCGCCAAAGTTGACGCCACAGCCAACGATGTCCCCGACGAGATCCAAGGTTTCCCAACCATCAAACTCTTCCCCGCTGGTGGCAAGGAGGAACCGATCACCTACTCCGGTTCTCGCACCATCGAAGATCTAGCCGAATTTATCAAGGAGAATGGCAAATACAAGGTGGATGCATTTGAGGGCAAGAATGAGACAGGCGATGATACCGAGGCTCCTTTGGCTGAAGGTATGGGTGAGGCAGCAAGGGCGGCAACCGAGACGGCGAAGAGCGCGGCAAGTGACGCCGCTGAGGCTGTGAAGACCGCCGTCACCGATTCGGATGGTGCGGATGACGGCAGTGAGCATGATGAGTTGTAGGTGCATAGTGGCGCGGTTGGTGTGGCAAAGGTGGTCCCAAAAATGTAACGGTCGGTAAGATATGTGCCGTGTGGAGGCATTTCCGATGTGATAAAACGCACATCGGCCTTGGTCCTGTTTTTCGATGTAAAAATCTATTGGCGTCAGATTTCCTTGTTAGTAGGAGTGGATATGGTTCCAAACTACTTTGCTTCCCACGAACACAACGCATTATTCATGCAAGGATACCCCCCTACTATTAATGGGCAGATGCCCACAAGACCGGCGTCCCCGCACCATGAGGAAGTCTACTCCATGGGTATTTGCTCCTCCCATGATGATGATGATGATGATGATGATGATGATGATGATGATGCAATGGCCACGAAGAAAGACGCCTTACCGAGGCGATGCGAGTGATAACGAACGACGATATAAAACCCTCGTTCAGGAAACCGATGCCGTCGGACCTGACCCATTTCCCTGTGAAAAAAGGATGATCTCGGTCTTATCTCGAAGGAGCTCTCTCTTCCCCTGATGATCGCACAAGAGGCCCGCGGGTCAGCTTTCGAGACGCAACAACAACGACCGCCTGCCTGCCCTCCACGAGCACATCCACCTCGAAGACGGCCCGACGTTCAATAATATAATATCCGTGATATCTCGGAAGGATAGAATTTCCGTGAAATGTTTCTTAATGTCAATCACCTCATTATCCATTCATCCCGAAGGATGGGGGTCTCAAGGAGAGGCACCGTCGCCGCCGCCGCGGCACGTAGCCTGCGCCACCGCCATCTCAGCGCCCGTCCACTCACTCACTCACTCACTCCTGCGGCTGCGTCGGGCCGGAAAGGCTCGAGACGGAGCTTCGGACATGCGCCGGATCCGCATATAGGTGTTGCTCTCCCCTTTCACTGTGTTTCCAAGGCAGGGAAAGAGATGGATGGATGGATGGGTCTCGCGCGCTGACCTGATGTGTTTTTTTGGGCAGAGCTGACGGCAAACGTCAAGTCTACATCGGGGACGCGCAGTCTGGCGCATGGCACGATTTGTGGGAAGCGGTCGAGGCTAGACTACCGGTGCCGTGTGTGCGCGACGGGGCTGGTCGAGTGTTGCGCGCGAGTGGAGTATTTTACTTACTTGCCATATTGCATGTGCGCGAGTCGATACGTTCAGGTTGGTTGGTTGACTAGCTAACTACGGTTTCTCTCAGGCACCGCACACAGGGTGCCTCAGGTGCAAGATCTATTCGTCGTGGTGACGGATGAGCCGTGGTCGCCGCTGCTGAGCTTGGTGGGGAAATCGACGGATGCGTCGATGGAACGAGCTTGAGTAGAGTGTCAGTTGATGATGTGTCTCGGGGTGAGAGGCGCAAATTGCCTGCTCGATCATGTTCTGCTGATGACGGATGTTGGAGGTGTAGTTCGTGTATCCAAATGTCATTTTTCGGAGGCTGGAGGAGCCACGGACTCTTGTTAATTTGCCTACTAGAATCGCACTTTTTGCTGTGAACGGCTACAGGCACATCATCCGCTACATGTGCAGTTGCCGGAGCGGGAAATCTTCCCCGCATCAAATGCGCCGTTGCTCCAAGTTGCTATCACCGCCAAAAAAATGATGCCTTTTCTGACTCCGCGAGAGCCGGGAATGACTTGTCCATAACTGACGACATGCATATCTTTTCAATGCCTGGGCTGCACTTGGACCCCCTCGACAATTGCATGCCAGCTCCCAAATAAAATGCCCGAAATAATTCTCCGCCATGTGGGGCCGATGGAGAATTTGGAGAATTAATTCGATCGATAATGCAGGTTTGACAGCAATTGTGGAGAAATGACGTCAATTATGCAAGTTTGACAGCTCGATCATGCAACCAATGCCAAGTCTCAGATTCTTTTCGTGGGGGAGGGTAAAAACGGCCTCGATGATCATGCGAAGCTCGAGATTAGTAGCGGTGAGCATCCCTAAA